GGGGGGAAAAAAAAGGGGGGGGGGGGGGGGGGTTTGTCAGGTAGCTCCTTTGCTCTGTTTCCTTTCCATCTTTTTATCCTGGCAGCCCTTTCCCCCTGTCTTTACTATCAGACTCTGCTCTGCCTGAGCACATGGAAGTGAGAAGCAAATTTGAAGACAATAAAACCTTAAAATTAAACATAGCTGTAGCAATTTGCATACGGTACCCGCATACTTAGTTTATCCAGAAACTGCTGCAAGTTTGAGCACAGGTACTCCATAAACACACTTTTGAGCAGCACTTTGGCACCTACTTATGTGGTACAAACTATACATGGTATCAGTCTAAAGCAAAAGGCTCATGATTTACTACACAGTTCACTGGGCTGGGCTGGACCATACTAGTCAACAGTATTTCAAGCCATGGTGACCCCACAGCTCAGCACTGCTCATGGTGTATATTCTGGATACTCCCCACAAAGGACCCATGTGTTAATTAGCTCACTCATGACAAACCAGGTGTTCTGGGAGTCCCGGGATGCTCCAAAAAGTTATAGGCAGCTAAGATGCAGGGCAACCTAGTTCAGCTTTACATCATGGAGGGTGGAGCCACACTAATCACACGCACCAGGCTGAACGAGAAGGCAACAAAGGCATTCTGGGTGAATCCTTTGGAGCCCTGTTTCATGATGTTTGCCAGGCATTTAAAGGTTGGTGAAGAAACAGGAATGATTGGGCATGGCAAAGGAAGGTACACTTCAGCTGTGGGAGTGAAGAAGGCGTCAAAATTTATGCAATGCAGGGATCATCATGAATTGAAAACAGTTGGTACAGACAGGGACTGTGCTTACAGGGCACTGCCATATATCTTATTTAGATGGACTGTGCTGACCTGTCCTAGTGGTACTTGGCAGGGGAGATACCAGGGTGAAGGTTGTGTCTTCCAGGTGGTTTTGCTGTACCTCCTTCTCCCTGACCTTAAGTGACCTTGTGTAGCTGAGGGTGGAAACTTGTCCACTGCACTGTGAACAGGTATCTGCTATAGCCTCCCAATGGGAGTACCTTGACTACACACTTCATTTTATGGAGATGGGGGATTTCTCCATGGCTTGCTCCTTTGGCCTTTTGGCTAAGGGTAAGCAAGACCTGGGGGCACCTGAACCCCAAGCCCTGCAGGCTTGGGGCTTGCATGTAGGATGCCTGCCTTCGATCTGGGAGCATCTGAAGCCCCAGGCTGAAAAGTCTGAGAGAGAAGATACTTGTTGGTGGTAACACCACATGGACCTGAACGACTGAGCTCTGCTCAGTGGATGGAATTTGGAACCGATTTTACTAATTTGACTCGAGACACCAAATGTAAAAAGTAGTAGGTTCCCATCAGCATCTCGCCTTTTGGCTGGGAACCAGTCTTGCATTTCTGGCACCATGGGGAAGGTGTCAAGGCTGGCTGTGGCCCTCCCAATGCCTGGCCTGGCATAGCAATGCTCCTACAAAGGGAATACCCACCTGGTTTTTTATTTTTTTATTTATTTTTTTTTAAGAGCAACACAAAAAGGGTTCCCAGCAGTGTATCTGCCCAATGTGGGCCATGTATTTTACAGTAACACTCAGTGTTGGCTGCATTTAATCAACTTTAGTTGGTTTCCACTGCCGAACACACGCTGCTTTTGGTAGCAGTTTAATGACAGATAATGTATTTAATGAGGTTTCCTTGTATGTGATAAGAAAATGAGGGGCATTTTCCCCCATACCAATGAGATGGGGCAGGGGGTGAGCCTCATCTTGTCTTCAAGTAAATATGGTATACCCCACTCCTTTTCCTAGCCAGCTGTGTTGTGGGTGATCATCAGCCACCAACCCACATCAGGTTCATTCTTGAGACTAGCATGTCTTCCATGACTGTGTAACTCTGTTTGTAGTTCCCTAACTATAGCCTGGATGTCAACAAATTAAGTAAGTGTTAAAAATTAGGAGATGTAAAGCATGGTTTGGGATATGCTCAGAGAAGCCACCATGCATATATGCTTACTTCAGTTATAGGAAGGTCAGAGTCAGGCCAGTGGCAAAGAATTTACTACAGAACTTCAGTTAAGAAATACAACTTTATTGTCAAAGTTATGCTATCAGCATAAAGATTATGATTTGAAGCAAACAAAAGGGAACCTGTTAACAGAAGATTAATCCATGTACCATCAAACACAGTCGCCATCACATGTAATTAATTTGCTGATGAATCATGTAAGCACTTGCTGAACAACAAATATTTCCAAGTAGGATCACAAATACTGTCATAAATGATAAATGGTTTTGGACAACCCAGTTGGGGTAAGAATTTAATAGAAACTTTAGAAGAGAAGAACTGTGACGTACTTTTGGGATGGTACTGGGAAAACACAGTTAAGCTGAATGAGATGGAGTGCTATTTGACATCACTTGTATCCAGAGCCAACTTTAGAACTAGCTTACAAAGCTAAGAGGATCAGCTGCCAAGAACCCCCAACTTCTGATCCGTGTTGGAATAATTCATTCTCTCCCCGCAGCTTCTTTAAACATTTCACTTTTTTCTCTCAAGGTTTTAAAATGAGGTTGTTTACCTACCTAAGCGTTTTGAAAGAGTTGTACAAACACCACCAAATGTGAAGAGTTAAATACTAAGTTTACAATGTGAGAAAAGCCCAGAGTTATGTGAAATGCAATAAAAGCTACTTAAAACCTTAATAACCTGTAAAGTAAAAACTGTAGACTGTTAGAATAAGATAGGGTCGGGCAATTATATCGGGTGGAGGGCTGCTTACTGAGTTTTGGCAAGCCATTGAGAGCCGCATGACAGACAGCCAGGGACAGATAAATATTAATTTTCTACATTTTTTAGGGGCCCCGCAGGCCGGATAGAATGGCCTGGTGGGCTGCATTTTGCCCTCCCCTGGAATAAGAACATAGCTACGAAAATTAACTGACTTTATTCTTATTACTCAATTTTCTCTCACTCCTCCCTTTGGAATCAGTGTGATGGGTGAATCCAAGTGAAATGCAGTTTTTAGGGGAGCACTGCCATTTGATCATGACTGAAAAAAGCACGTGCATCTCCTTTAATATGTGAAGCACCTTTTTGTGTTTACATTTAATGCTCATATACTGTAGGTGTATGTTGGGGCACTGGCTTTGCTGTGCTCTCTCAAGTTTACAGACTTTATCCGACTCAAAATCTACCTGCAAAATACAGTGCATCTCAGCTGCTATGTTTTTGTGACAACTAACTCTGCAGTAGAGGTAAGCCTTCTTAATTTACTCAAGGGTGAAACAGTGATCAAAAATAAAACATTTGGAAACAGGACAGTGCTCTGAGAATAATTCAGTCCTACTCAATAGTTGTTCCATACAGATGTGGATGTACATATGAAGTGTTTCATTGTATAGCAGCTTTCAACCAGACAACTTCACAAACGCTAGGCCTTGAGGACTGTTTTACAAAGGAGCTAACCGAGGAACTGACGAGTGACACAACTTGCTCAAATTCACATACTAAGTTGGTAACGAAACAGACATTAGCAGCCAGGAATATATCATCTCCCAGACATTTCACACAGCCATCCCAGAGCAATGCCTCCCCACCGTCTAATTTAAGGATGCAGATTCCTCATAGGCTGATCTACCCTTTGAACAACAGAGTTAAGGGAGACAAGGTGGTGGTAACTTACGTAGATTAACCACTCTTTATAATGAAGTCCTTTGACTGAAAATAGGTGATAATTTCATATCAAGATGGCTGCAGCATTAAGCAACACTGGGGTAGGGAAAAAAAAAAAATCTCATCTCTAGTCAGTGTGAAAGATCATTTACTCTAACAGCATCAATATTTAAAATTGTTCAGAAAATACTTTTAAGCTATCTAGGCATTAAGAGTTAAATTTTCAAACTTCCTACCTGAAAGAGTATAAAGATGAGGAACAGCTCATACACAACGCTGACACAGAGCCAAAACCTCCAGTAAGCTAAGGAAAAAGAAACAGGAGGTTAGCAAGACTTCTTGCAAAACAGCTGTTGGTTGTTCATTTAACAGTAACAATTATAGAACATTTTTAGCAGAGAGTCCTTCACTAAAGAAGGATAATGTAAAGCATGGAGTAAATTATTTGGACAATGCCCTGCCCAAAGGGTGCAAAACAGAAATAATCCGATTTAGACTGGAAATTAGGGGAAAACCCTCTATTAGAGGAGTGATGTTTTAGAACAGTGAGTGGAAATTTTCTGGAACTGTGGGCTGAAGCAATACAGCTCAGGTACAAGGTAGGCCAATGTTCTGGTCCAGCTATTGCCACTGTGGTTTTTCCCTGCTACAGCTCCTTGCTGCCTCTGCCATGGGAGAAGCCCCCTAACCCCATAATGCTGCCAAGTCCCCCTGCTGCTGACACACCGCTGAAGATGTCCAGCTCCAGGGGCCCGATTTAGTGGTTCTGGGGGCCACATGTTGATAACCCCCATTTTAGGGCAGTCTCTTGAGCTGAGCAGTACAAGCAAAAAACTTATCAGGCTAGAACAGTACTTCAGCACAGAGACTCCTAGCAAAATACAATGAAGCCAAAATCCTGGATTGGGATGGTCTGTAATGGGGAAACCTAGACACTCTAGACTGAAACAACTCAAGTTCAGGAGCTTGACCCCCAAACCTGCAATTTCTCAAACATGTCAAGAGGTTTGAATTAGGTCCATTAGATCAGTGGTTGGCAACTTCTGAGGCTATAGGCCTGGCTGACTCAGTTTGGGTGACAGGCATGGTGCCACTGAGTTGGAAGAGTAGGCCCATGTCTGCTGGCCAGATGAAAAGGCTCTGGCCCACAGGCCAAAGGTTGCCAATCCCCACATTGGACAGATTTTCATGCTGTGAACTCAGTCAGTTTAGGTGTGGCCCATGCCAAGGGGTAAACTTCCATTTCAGGAGTTAACCCACCTCAGGATTAACATCTAGGAGTTGGTAAGCGGATTGGCCTAGCCATTTCCAAAACCATGCCCGTGAGTTTGAATAACAGGGAACAATTCAGTAAAATTTCACGGTTTAAAATGAATTAACATCCAAGTCTCTCTTGACACTCTCATTCATTCATCTCCTTTGAACAATTCCAATGGCTTTTTTTTTTTTTTAAATAGGCTTCCTGCCACACTGCAAACAAGAGTTATTTTTCCAGGGCTAGATCTAAATAGTTGTTGAGACTGGTTCTGGACAAAGAGGATTCTATACAATAAAATAATCAACATTCAAATGGTCAAGTGGAGAGTCAGTTAACTGACATAAGTCTGCGCGCTGAGATACACAAGTAGCTGTATTAGTCTCAAGTCAGGCAGAAGGCAGGGTGGATTTGCACCTTAGACTAACTAAATTAGAGATGCACAGATACATAGATTGATCATAAGATTTTGTGGGTCACGCACAGAGCAGTGTGCAGAATGGAAAGCATGATCTAAATACAAAAAGCAGGAAGGAAAGGAAGGAGTGGGGAAAGGGGCAGTGCTGAGAGAGGCAAACAAGGAAAAAACGCACAGGAACAAAGGGGTCACAAAAACTAATTCACATAATTACTTCCTACACATCTGTGTGAAATTGCTTACTTAACTGAAGGAAGGGGGATCAAGTTGTTAGGTTGAACCTTAACCTTCAAGGTCTCTAAAGCGTCACCCTGCCTTGCCTTCTGCTTGACTTCAGATTAAATTAACCCTCTCCAGGCCACTTAAAAGTGCTAAACTGATTTCAAAAGGGAGTTAGATGCCTAAATGACTTTGGGAACCTGAGCCTTAGTTTTTTGCTTTAGAAGAACAGATTAACAATTCTAGTATTAGAAACACAAAATTAGCACCCACTCTTCCCCCAGGTAAACTGGAAACCAGGAGGATGTGGACAGGTACACAGGCATATCAAATTTGCTCATAGCAGTTTGCTGAGGACACTGATTTAAGTAGGATTAAAACGCTTTTCAAACAGAGGAAAAAGTTATCAAATTTTAGCCTTTCCAGTCTTGACAATGGACTTGTTTGCACTGGAGATTGCAATGTAGTATAGCGACATCTGAGCTAGCTTTACATGAGCCAACAAAGATCCACAAGCAGGCCGCAAAATTTTGAAACAAAAACTTCAGCACACACTAATTCACTCAGTTAAGAGACAGGCAGGCAGCAACACCTGCTTTTTCTATGTTAGGAGACTGAACTGAGCAAAGAACATCATCTTTCAGATCATAACAAGTTTCCTCTATAATTAAATTGCTTCTGACACCCTTTAAAAATAGCTTTGGATGTGTAAGGATGTGATCATTTTCAGCCAAACTGCTCAATTAACCTAATCAGAAAGACCTACTTTGCATGTTAGGGGAAAAGGCAGCAGTGACCTGGATACCTGGGGGGTTATAATTTCTACCTAGGAAGTCACAAACTGAGATTAGAGAGTCTATTTTACAATGATTTTACTTTCAATTTTACTTCTAAGAAAAGGGCCCTCACAGTAACTAGCTAAAAGAATAACAACCCAAACAGCTTTACGCAGATTGACGAACTATAGTTCTTAGTCATGTTTTCCAAATTCCACTCATCTACCTTTTTTCTGTCACACAGCAGCAGGAGAAGAGCCCCCTTAGGGCAGCTTCCACCACAGAAAAACTAAATGACAGGATCTGTGCAGTGCAAAGAGCAGTCTTACTCATGGGTTCCTATTACTATTGCTGGTTCCTCTAACGCAGAGGTTGTCAACCTGTGGCAAAAGCGCCACAAATAGCACATACAACCTCTACGTGTGTGGCACATGGCAGATCAGGGAGGGGACAGGTAGCACAGCAGCAGACAGGGCATGAGGCAGAAAGCAGAGCAGAAAATCAGGAAGGAAACACAGGGCAGAAAGCAAAGGAAGAGATTGGGCAGAGAGCACAGAGTAGGGAGCAGAAACAAAGCAGTAGATTGGGCAGAGGAAGGGGTTTGGAGCGGTACTTGGGGAGGGTGTGAGGCTACTTTGTGCCATGGCTGCCCAAAAGCTTGGTCCACTCTGCTCTAATTTCAGATCTTTAAATAAAAACCCTAATTTAATGGGGGGGGGGGGG